AAAATGGCCAATTTATTATATGACATATTATAAAGTGATCATTTTTTGTAAGTATTAGTATATAAACTGTAAAACTGTCAAATATTTTTGTAATTTACCCAAAATTAAAGATAATTTATTTGTAAAGGTATTTAGAATAGAAGTTACCATGGAGGAAAGTAGCAAGGCTTCCTTTGGGCATATAATCGAAAACAATAAGTTTCTCCCCTTTTGGACCCAAATAATAAGCTCTCAGTGCCAAAAGATTTTGATGTCTGATTTTCCCAAGTGAATTGACTTCATTTTCAAACTCCTTTTGATTCTTTGTAATCCTTTCTCTCAATCTCTTCACAGCTACTTGATTTCCTTCCACTAATGTCGCTCTGTAAACAGTTCCATATGTACTTTTTCCCATTATCTCAGCTGTCGCACACAAAAGATCATCGGATGTGAACTCCATCCCACCTTCAAAATGTACAAGCTTCCCTCCAGCTTCTCCGGCGGCCTCCCCTTCCCCTTTGCTCGCCGGAATCCCCCTACCACCTCCTTCCACATCCTTCTGCTTCACTGTGTCTTTTTTCTTTAACAAACAACACAGAAGTATACAGCAAAGGAACAGTAAACCTGCTATCAAAGCTCCTCCCACAATCAGCAAGACATTTTTAGCTCTTGTTTTCCGGTGGCGGCTCTTCGCCGGAGATGTTGGACACGTGGTTGAAGGGCTGTATCCGCAAAGATCAAGATTACCCACGAAAGCACTTGAATCGAATTTTGAAGAAATTTGAACCGGGACCGGACCCGAGAGATTGTTGTAGGACACATTAAAAAATGCAAGATTCTGGCTATCACCCAAGAAAACTGGGATTTGACCGGTGAAGTTGTTGTGAGCTAAATTTAATGAAGTGAGTGAACTCAAATCGGAAAAGGTAACGGGTATGCCGCCATTAATGGAGTTGTAAGAAAGATCTAAGCTTTTAAGCTTAACAAGTTTCCCAAATTCATTAGGGATTTCGTCACTGAATTTGTTATGACTGAATGAAATCTCTTCAAGCTCAGTCAACTTGCTTAAAGACACAGGAATCTTTCCGGTGAAAAAATTATGGTCAAAAGTCAAAGATTTGACCACGGGTTTATCACCACCCCAAGAATCAGGGAGAACCCCTGAAAAATTATTGAATTGAAGAGATAGAAACATGAGGGAATTGGATTGTGTGAGGGACACAGGAATGGAATCTGATAACGAATTCAAACTCAAATCGACATTATAAAGCTTAGTGCAATTACCAAAGGAATCAGGGATTCCACCCACCAAAGAATTATTACTAAAGTCAAGATTTTGAAGTAATGTGCATGAACCCAATGTAGGAGGAATTGAACCTGTAAACTTATTGTTGAACAATTGAATCCCTCTGAGATCTGGCAAGAACCCTAATTCCTTCGGAATTGAACCTCCAATGGCGTTATTATGGAGACTAAGCTTTCTCAGAGCTTGAAACTGGCCTATTTTAGAAGTAATATGACCACCTAGACCTCTCCATGGAAGCTGTATGATAATCACCTGTCCTTGAGCACACTTGATTCCTTCCCAACCACCAGAACAAGCTCCATAGCCACTGTCATTCCAGCTTTTCAAGAAACCATTTGGGTCAATGAGTTCTTGTTTGAAAGCTTGGAGGGCTTGAAGGTTTGATTCTGAGACAATTATTCCATCCCAAGATTGGGTTGAAACAACAAAAGGGGAACTGCAAATTATGAGTAGGTGTAGTAGAAAGGTGAAATAGTGTGTGTTTTTGTTCCTATTTTCTTTCTTTTTCTTGATGGGGGTTTTGTATTCGTGTAAAGGTGGGGATTTCTGAGATGGGTATCTCTGGAAATAACCAGAAAATAGTAAGTGTAGCAGTAAGGTGAAATAATGTGTGTTTTGCTTGCATTCTTCTTTGGTGTTGGATGTGTGGAAAGTTTTGGTTGAAAGATGGTGACCTTTTTGAGAAGGGTATTTGTGGAAAGTGAAATTGGACTCCATTGATGGATCAAGAAGAAGAAATCTTTCTCTCTTTTGTTTCAGAGAGAGAGAGAGAGAAAAAGAGTGCGTGTGTGTGTGACACTCTGTGTGTGTGTGTGTGTGGCGTGTGAATGGAACAGTGGATAAAGACGGTGCTTTTGTAGTGTAGAACTGTAGATGGTGAAAGATGATGAGGTTTGCTGATGGTTGCACGTGATTGGCACGCTTTTTAGATACAAAGAAAGATGCAGATACCTTGGTAACGAGAAATACGGATGAAAAATTTCAACATAGTAAACTTAATATTCTCTTACTTATTTTTTAACAATATATATAATAACTGACAAAGTTAATGAAATATTATAGATAATAGAATTATATATAATAAAAAAGATTAAAAAATCAACAAAATGTTAGGATTTTTTTATATAAAAAAGTACATATTTCAATTTCAGTACTTTGTTTTTTTTTGAATTTATGTTCGTATGTATAATCAGTGTTATTATGATATGTTTATAAGACCATAACGTTTGTTGTTTAATATATGATAAATAATAGAGGGTTAAAGTACATCTGATATACTGTTACGTCTTCAAAAACTGAAAGAACGTCATTTTATTTGTTCACATGTATGAATTAGTATAATTTACAGATATAATTACATATTTACAAGTTGACTTATAAATAGGAAAATCCATAAACAAAAATTTGATTATCAATTGCTTTATTTTTTCACCAGATAGAATTAAAAGATTGGTCCTTAGTATCACATTTTACTGTTGCATAAAATTATAGAAATATTACATGATCTTTGTGGTTTTAAAATTTCGGACTATAAATCTAACTTTTGAACTATTATCTTTTTTTTCAAATGCCCAAGTACCAAATATGAAAAGTACAATAAATTAATAATCATTGTGGTTTCGGTTTATTATGTGGTTGGTCATTTGTAGAAGTCACATCAGTTTTTGCTTCGTCATCAAATAAGAAATAGGAAACATTTGAAACAAATTGATAGATTAGATAATTTGCAATAAAAATGTAAACTCAATAACTTAATTGAAAAAAAAACACATTGTCAAAATCAAAATTTTATGTATTGAGTCCAACGGGTAATGCATTCTAATGTTATATCTCCTAGATCCATAGATATTGTTTTCAAAAAAAATAAATTTACCATCCAAAAAAGGCTAACGGCGCAGCTTGTTGCTCGTTTGTCTTCTATCGATATGTATTGAACTATATATGATATATAAATATGTATACTTCTATAAAAAAAATTATATAAACTTAATGTTGTTTATGCAATTTTCCATTATTTATAATGATAACAATTGGAATAAAACATTATATATCTATATATATATATATATATATATATATATATATATATATATATATATATATATCAAAATAATTAGGAGCTGCTAACCATACATATTAAATTATACACCTACAGTTTGCGAGCAAAAATTTATTCCACAGGCATTACTTGTGAGAGAATACAGTTTAGGTAGCCGAGAAAAATCATGCAAGTACTACAAGTGATTTCATCACGAGTTTGTGTCAAATAAAATCTAAACTATCGAGAACTCGCAGTAGCTCGCTATCTTAGTGTTCATTTGTTGATATCTTCTTAAAATTAGGTTGGTGCGACATATAAAACAATACTAGATGTAAAACTCATGTATTACATGAGTTCATTTAAAAGAAAAAATTAAATATGAAATTTTAAACATTTAAAAGTTTGAATTTATAAGAAAATTAAAAAAATATTGAATTATTAAAAGTTAATGTGTTTTTTTCTTTTTTATATTTAAACAAATAATTTAGATAAATAAACAAAGGAAACTAATGAGGTTTTAATTTTGAAATTTTATAATTAAAAAGAAAGTCAATTAATGAAATTGATATGCATTTATTATTACATTTAGAGAAAATTGCAAATATAACAAAATCCCTTAATTACTTTGTGGAAAATAGCCAAAAAATAAATCCAAATTACAAATATAACCATGAAAATCGCAGATGGATTAATCTGCGATTTTAACATTTCATCTGTGATTTAGCGACTTGTACATTCGCAGGTGGCTTTTTTTTTAGTTTTTTTTTTATTTTTTTACATATAAATACCCCAATCTCTGACTAAAATCGCAGATGAACTAAGTTTATCTGCGATTTCCTCTCATCCCATCTGCGATTTTGCATTTTCTTTTTAATTTTTTTTTAAATTTTGACTACGAAATTGATAGGGTTTAACTACAAAATAACTTTATTATATATAAAGTTTTGCAAAAAATTATCAATTTAGTTGTTATTTATTTGGAAAATTTGTTTAAAACATCTCTAATAAAATAAATTCTCCAACAAAAAGTTTGAAAAATGAAATCGTCCATAGTGTCTCCAGAGAAAGCTTTTCCAAAAAAAAAAACTGAAAAATGAAAGAGAAAAAAAAATTACGTTTTTATACCCTTAAAAAAGGGGAAATTACAGATGAACGCAAAATCACAGTTGGACTGAGTCCATCTGTGAACGTATAAGGCGCTGAAGCACAGATGTGCTTTAACGACTTGTACGTTCACAGATGGACAAATAAAATCGCAGATGGACTGAGTCTATCTGCGATTTTGGTGGCTATTTTTGTAATTTGAGTTTTTTTTTTTGCTATTTTTCACAAAGTAATTAACATATTTGACTAAATTTGCATTTTTCTCTTACATTTATTATAGTTATTACATTTAAATATTATATAAAATTTGATAAAATAAAAAAAACCACAAAATGTCATATGAAAAAAATTTAATTGAAAATAACCACAAAATGACATGTGACCAAATAAATAAGAGTGTGACATGTGACAAAAAAAATTTCATTTATATTTATTAGAGTAGATATTAACTCGTATATTTTTTCACACCAACTAAGTATCTGTTTCATATGTGAGTATAATAAATAATAAATGATTAATAATATCATCATATTCAAATTGATACTATATTTAAAAAAAAAAAGCTTCTACCTTGAACTTACTCCCTAATATGCCTTTCATTCGAACATCGAAATTTGGTCGGCTGTTTCTAGAAACGAAATGCAATCTCCTATTTTATTAGCTTTTTCTGTTAAAGTGTTTTGTTCATTTTACTCATGGTTCGGCATCACACGTGGTCACACGTGCCTCTATGTTAGCAACGGCTAAATTTCTTTCCTATTTTGTCCTTCATGTTTTGTAGCCTGCTCCCTGTAACGGCTAAACTTTTATGCTTCTTTACGTGATTCACTCTCCAAGTTTCACCTGCCTCCCCAAGAAACTATATAAATATATGAGAACGAAAAATCCTATAAATAATTTAATATGTTATTTTTTTATTATCATAAAACTTAAAAACAGTTAATGTCTGAAATCAATGTTAAGATATCGCACGATCGAAATTATGTACTATAATGGTGGGACCCATCAATTGCAAATTTAGTCTTACAATTACATAAATTACATAATCTTTTTTGGGTTTTCAGGTTTAACTAAATTAGTAGTCTTGTAATGATATATGTTATAGTAATACGACATATACAAACACTTGTTTTTTGCCATATTATCTTTGCCCATATCGTTTTAATTAATTTCTCAATTTCATTGTTTGTATTTTGATGAATGACTCTTAATCGGAGATTAGAAGAGGTAGCAATAATGTTGGATATTATTAAAGATAATTTGTCTAGAATTAGATATAATATATGAGAACGAAAAATCCTATAAATAATTTAGTATGTTATTTTTTTATTATCATAAAACTTAAAAACAGTTAATGTCTGAAATCAATGTTAAGATATCGCATGATCGAAATTATGTACTATAATGGTGGGACCCATCAATTGCAAATTTAGTCTTGCAATTACATAAATTACATAATCTTTTTTGGGTTTTCAGGTTTAACTAAATTAGTAGTCTTGTAATGATATATGTTATAGTAATACGACATATACAAACACTTGTTTTTTGCCATATTATCTTTGCCCATATCATTTTAATTAATTTCTCAATTTCATTGTTTGTATTTTGATGAATGACTCTTAATCGGAGATTAGAAGAGGTAGCAATAATGTTGGATATTATTAAGATAATTTGTCTAGAATTAGATCTTGAACTGAATATTAAGAAATTTTGAATATTTTAGTTTTTATGTGATGATATAAAGCTTCGTGAGAGTTCATGTAGGCATCGGGAGACCATTATTAGGGGATTTATTTATTATTATTATTTTTGGGAGGGCAGGGTGTACTTAGTAGAGATGTGAGTTTTATTAGCAGGTTGGTCATGAGGAGAGCTGCCAACGTTGTTCATCTAATGTGTCTTCTTCCGCAGTTAGGTGACCCACATAGTGAGCTTCTTTTTCTTTGATCTTGTATAGGTATAACCAAACTCTTCTTTGGCTTGAGGATATGCCCACCCGTACATATGGAGGAGGTTGGATAATGCTTTAACAAAGGATGGTGGTTTGTGGATGTCATTTCTTTAGAGACATCCATTGGCGATGGATTGTTTATTCATTAGTTTGGTGGTCTAGGGTTGTGCTAGGTAGCAGGGGCTTTCTCCTATGTTTTTATGGCGTATAGAGCCTAATCTAGAGTGTTACAGGGCCACATCTACGTGTCATTAAGATATGTTGTATGTATTTTGATTATGTTTCTGTTTTGGTGTAACATCCCAAAATCATAACCAATTTTTTCATCTTTAACACATTCCAAAATCCATAAATTACATAAAAGCGCAGTCTCTCAAACCATAACATGAATCAGAGTATCCCAAAATCAAAAGTTATATAAAAATCAAGGATGATGTGCACAACCAAGCCTTTGCCTTGCCCCTGTCCTCTAAAGTACTTGAAACCGAAACATCAAACTGTAAGTCAAAGCTTAGTGAGTTCCCCTAAAATACCACACACACAACCAGACAGATAAAAACATGCATATATGAGCCTTCAACATGACTGGACCGCCTCGCATGGCCTACAACCTATCTGGACTGCTCTCCGGGCCTTCGATTTGACTGGACCGCCTTGTAGGGCCTACAGCCTATCCAAACCGCCTGGGTATCTGAAAGACCCACACTTTCAAACTTGACAATTGTTACTCCGAAACATGCTACATGCATATTCATA